GCATTTTACTGTTTGTATTAACACACAATATGTTATAATAATATAATATAATATTATATTATAATATGAATGAGGATGAGAGAACAAGGGCCACAAAGGTCGGTAGTGCATCGTCATTAAGTTGGATCTATGTGCTGAGCATTTTACTGTTTGTATTAACACACAATATAAAATAATAATATAATATAATAATATGGGGATGATGGGTCTATATAGGACACATTTTAGATTTCACATTGCTGTCTTCGAAAGGGAACGATAGTTGCTCGGTTCTTGTATGCATGCAAGGGGCATAGTGGCTGTGTAAAGTAAGTGCCAGCGGCTGTGATCGAATGTGTTGAGGGTTTACAGGAGAAGCTGGAGAGTGAGCTAGAGCAGATCGAGGACAAGTTCAAGACCAAGAAACGCAAATTCATCGAGTCGAGCGACACTTTCAAAGATGATCTCAAGAAGGTATCCACAATCACGCCTCCTCGCGAGTTTACGCACTCGCTCATTCCGCATCTAATCGCAAGATTCTGTGAAGTGTTACCTGTATTAATGCTACATAGGTAGTGTACGAATGGTTAGGTCCTTAATTTGTCCGACTTGGATATACAAGTCGAAGTCTTCATATTTCAATGTTCATTTATATTCTATAGGTAGATATGTACATGTCTATATCCGTTCTAGGTACACATACCCTTACAGAATCGCTATTTTCTTGATCTTTTTGCGCACAGCGTGTTTTCTGCCGACATATGCTGAGGGATTGTGACATGTTTCTTGCTGTGTTTTGTAATCCGCTCTTAAACTGGCATCTTTGAGCGGGTAGGGACTAACTCTCATGCACGCTCGCTCTCCGGGGCGACGCTACGAACCTGTGTCTACCTTCACCCCCACCCCGTGCGTGTTCCAGGCGTGTGAGAAGAAGGTGGACAGGGAAATGTACCTTCAGCTGCTGGAGAAGGCACAGCAGCAGCTGCAGGAGCACCTCCAGAGACAGAAGGCGGGCGCGGAGAAACAGCCACAGGACGGTGGCGCCCCCAGCCCGGGCGACGCCGCGGCTCCGCCGGCAGCTACCGCCGAGGCGCAGCAAGCCAGGTGAGCGAGATGTTAGATATCGGTGCATCGCTGACCACTGTCGTCGATGACTCTGACCATTGTCGTCGATGACTCTGACCATCATCGATGCTTTGTTGCTTTTTTTGCTTTGTGCAAGATGTTAGATGTTAGATGTGATTTCCGTGCTTTCCTGATCGTTATCGAAGCTTCGTTGAGTTTCGCTGGCAGGCCTACTACGTGAACGCTGTGGGATCTTCCGTGAGATATCGCGATGAGCGGTGCATGCTGGCAGTGTCGTTGCATCGCTCATCCACATCGTGAAATCGCAATGATGACAAGATGCAATGGTTCGCATGTTATTCGTTGTTGTAATTGTGTTTTTGTGTGTATTTGTGTTTTAGCGATGAGGAGTCGCATGCATCGGATGATAGGACAGCTTCCGAGAACACAGATTCAGCGGCCGATCAGAAGAAAGGTGTTTAATTTACACGGAGCGCGAAACATTCCTGATAGAACTTCCCCCTTTGATGCAGCAATTGTATTCTATCAAATATCTAATAACTCTTCTAAACAATATTCTAATTTCAAATTGCCTCTGTTTTATCTAGATATCGACCAGTCAAGTAATAGCCATGACTGTTGTAGGCTGCATCTCTGAGATTAAAACTCGTTTCTACTTTCAGCGGAAGAGAAAGCCGAGCCTATGGAAGTGTCGCCACCTGCAGGCAGCGATGAGAAGAAATCTGGCGAACCCGCAGCGGCCGAGAGCGAACCCAACGAGCCGACGGACACGCACGCTGCAGAGGGCAGCACCGTTGCTGAGTCAACGACCGACGTTGCACAGACATGAATCAGGGAGCGTTGTTGACGTGGCGGCTCCGTCGATGTGGGCGGGTCGTGTTTACGCGGTGGTTGTCGTAATAATGCGGATAGACTGTCGAACGTGGTGATCGTGCGACGTGCAGCGTAACCGTGGCGATGGGTCCTGTGAGCGAGTCATCTTCGTTAGCGTTGTCTACATTTTCGTTAGCATTGTCTACATCTTCGTTAGCATTGTCTACATCTTCGTTAGCATTGTCTGTATCTTCGCTAGCGTTGTCTACATCTCCTAATATATGATCGTTGTGGAATCCATGCGCGCAGTCAACATTTGATGTCGGGCCTGTATTTGTGTCGATTTACATTTTAATTTAGTATTGTGGCACCATCTAGCGAATCATTATTTCTCGCATCACTGCATGAAAAGGAATCTCTCTCACTTATGTATACACACAACGGAGACCATGAAAATTGCAAACTCGAGTTGCGCGTGAAATTTATAAATTGAGCCTTAATTTATAACTGCAGAATTTGGAAAGAAAACTTAATGGGGAAAATTTATCGAATAAATGAACTGCAAATTAGATTCGGATATACTGCTATACTGTAAAGTATAATTTGCGATCAACTAGATGACCAATAAAGCTTACTTATGGATGGAATACGGCAGTGTGAACGTTTAATGTAAACGTATTTAATCTCGCCGTTTTACCTGACTATTCAGCTGAGATGTGGGCCAATGCTGTCATCATTTATAACCGCTTACAATACCATACGATAGTGTTGTATCCTGCGGCAAACACAGATTGGCCTGATGTTGTGACCTCATTAATAATTGTAATTCATCCGTACGTTATTGCTGTTGTGTCTGTGAGTGTGTGTGCGTGTTCGAGGGTGTCTTTGTTTTGCTGTCAGAATTTCACCGCCAGACGTCCGTCAGGGAGTTCTAGCGTTGCTGTATCGTTGTTTGTAATCTGGTACCTGCGGGGCTGAATCAATAAAACTGACGGTGATTATATTATTCAAATATTCCTGTTTGCTTCTGCGTCGCACCGGCCGCGCCTCGCTGTGCACGTGTGCCGTAATTTCACGCCTGTACGACGCTTTCACGGCCTCCCCCCACCCCACAACAGGGATGTCACCAGCGGGATCCTTGCACCGCGGGGAGGGGGTGGAGCCCCTGGGGGGAGGGGGAGGCAGGCAGCGAGAGCGCTAGCGAAGAAACGGCGAACATTGATTTTCGAGTGCCCCCCTCTAACCGCCTGCTCCCTGTCTAACCGCCCGCTCCTCCTCCCTCTACCCTCAACCCTCCACCTTCCACCCTCCTCCACCACCCTCCCTCCTCCACCCTTCCTCCCCACCCTCCTCGCACTCTCCTGCATGCCCCGCTCCTCCTCCACCACCCCCCTCACCCCTCCTCCTTCCTCCTCCCCTTACCTCCTCCTCCACCTCCTCCCTCCCCTTCCTCCTCCCCCACTTCGCTGCCGTCCACGCAACGCGGTGATGTGTTTATTACACATGGCTCGCATTCTGTAGATGAGATGTAGATTAGCGTATGCTGTGTGCTCCTACTGTCATTGTCGTCTGAACTCGGCTCGATTTGCGTTTATATACAGGCCCGCATGCATTTTACCAAGAGCGCGGATAATCAGCGCCAAATATCTATAGGATAATAATAGAATTCGTCATGAATTATATGACGCGATTTCTCGCCACTTGGCTCTCCGCGGTGAGCCGTGGTACCGCACTGGTGCGCTACGATCGCGTTGTCGCGGCGAACCGACGTTCGACCTCGCCACGCTCCCGAGACAAAGATGAAAAATTGGTTCGCTTATAGACTCTGGATCGTTATACGTTCATCTTATTCTTGACGTTCGGGTGTTTTTACGCTGGCTGAATCTCGGTGCAAATTAAGTTTTTGCCGTTTAACCACACAAGAGGTTTTGCCGCTCGATGGACATCCGACAGAAGCATGAGTGTAACGCAAGAGAAGCTGCGGCGGCTTATTTTCGGGTTAGGCTTCCTTCGATTTCCGTAATTCGTCGATAGAGGAGACTCGCGGAATTTTCCTCCGCGCTGACAGACCTGAGAACGACCGAAAGAAATACTGGCTGCCGGTTTTCAACGGGAGATTTTTTTATTTCATGTAACACAAGATACTAAGCCTAGCCATGCCTATACGTCTATGTATAGTATCTATCTATCTAATATATATATATTATATATATATCTATATTAATAAATATATATATATATATATATATATTATACTACTATATGCAGCCCATTTAGAATACTCTGTCTCTAGACTTAATCACACGGGTTTGATTATTGCATTGAGTACGGCGTACCGGCTCGCTCGCCACACTCGAGCGACGGGCGAGGGGAATTGACCACTTGCCTGCACCTTGAACCTTGACCTTGATGCGCAGGCCGTGCGGACGATGAGACGCTCTGTCGTCATCATCTAACGTCATTATCTGCAGGCATCTTCACACTCACCAACCTACGAGTGCATCAAACGCTCTCACAACCACGACAGCCCCCACTAGGCGACTCTTGAACAGAAATCTCCTCCCATTTCAAGCTAGCGTTATTAACGCGTCCTCATATACATATATATTATATATATATATTATATATATATATATATATATATGATACAGGATATATATATCATATTAATATATATATATATATATATTTATCATGTATAGTATAATAATATCCTGTATATATCTATATATATATAATTTTATATATTTATACAGGATATCATATTAACATGATAATATAGGTATATATATAGTATATAATACTATATATATATATATAACGGGCGCGCCTCCGTTCTAAGCTGTGTGTGGTACTGCCGTCGAATGACTTGAACTTGAAGATGGTTACTGAGGACCTACGATTCTCTCTCCGGTCCTCAGCTACGCGGCCACGAGTAGAGAGAGCGATGTGAGGGGAAGAGCCGGAGCATGCGCAGTACATTGGTCATAACATCGAAACCAGGACGCAGGAATGACGAGAGCTTCTTATTCTTCGTACGCTTACAGATGACCTCTATGACCTCTCTATGACCTCTCTACCTCTATGACCGCGGCTGTACTGATATCGTGCGGGCACAAACACGACGTAAAGAACGCTCGATTCTAAGCTAACAAACAACGATGACAACCGATTGTCTCGGTACGGTTGCAGTGACCGACGCGAGGTCTTAACAATACGATTTATCTCTACTATCGACCTATATATTATATATGGAGCTTCGTAATATTTCATCACAGGCACTGTTTCATTATGCACACGCACCGTTAACCCTCTCTCCCCGGATCGTAACCACAGTCCGCATTCTCACACTGACACACACGCACACACCGAGCTGTGAGGGTGCGGCTAAAACCCGAAATCTAAAACAACATCTCTAAACACCGTGCATTGAAATACGACTAATGAACACGAATATGGGAGGGGAGGTATATAACCTACCTACATAAAGGCCCTATTCAACGTGGAACTTTTCAACAAAAAACAGGTGCGTAGAATACAACGAAAGTACACGAACGAAATTGAGCAACGATGAATACCTGCTATATAGCGATGGCGGCATATAGACTCATTCAAACACAACAACTATTCGCTAAAAATTCAACAGCCATTAAACAACAGACGCGGCGCGTCAAAATTTGCGTTTAACTCTATCGTCCCGCTGAGGCATTGCTTACCTGAACTTTGACTATCAGCTATCGATCGATTCGTCTATCATTATAGCGCATATTGTTCACACACGTAATATATACATATACACCCACACACGCTAGGTTTAACAACGCGTAAACTCTTTTCGACGTCCTAAACCCGATGCACTTCTTACCGGACTGTTTACAGCGATTGTTAGACGAATATACTACATATACATGTTGGCACTAGTCTGTGTTTTAATATAAACTTTCTCGTTGGGAGACGCGTGTGTGTGCGCAGCAGGAGTTATTGCATCTACTAGGTCTTTGTACTCCTGCGCACATGCACTGGTTTATTGCGAACGTGAGTGGGAGAATGCGACAACGCACTCTCTCGTCCTTCAATGAGTCAATTCATCGTTAACCCGCCACCGTGCGTCGGTCGCCGACAGAAGAACACATAAGTCACGCGAGAGAGAGAGGGAGGGAGAGAGAGGGAGAGAGAGGGAGAGAGAGAGAGAGAGAGAGAGAGAGAGAGAGAGAGAGAGAGAGAGAGAGAGAGAGAGAGAGAGAGAGAGAGAGAGAGAGCCTACGTCGTACCAACGCACTACAGATAGGCAGGACAGGCACAGGAGGTGTTCTGGTGCACGCGGAGCGCTGGCACAGGAAGTACATTTGTCAAGAAACACACGAGCACCGTAAATGTGTAGACATTAGAAGTGCATATGCACAGAAAGCACCGTATAGCTACCGGATAGTACATGGAGGGTACAGGAAGCGCGTGAGCATAGGAAGTGCGTATAGGTATATGACGTAGGTATATGACGTAGGTAGGCTGAGCAAATGTGCAGGTACAGGAAGGTGTGTATGTGTGCAGGATATGCGTGGCTGTAGGTGCAGGATATGCGTGGCTGTAGGTGCAGGATATGCGTAGCTGTAGGTGCAGGATATGCGTAGCTGTAGGTGCAGGATATGCGTGGCTGTAGGTGCAGGATATGCGTAGCTGTAAGTGCAGGATATGCGTGGCTGTAGGTGCAGGATATGCGTAGCTGTAGGTGCAGGATATGCGTAGCTGTAGGTGCAGGATACGCGTGGCTGTAGGTGCAGCAAGCACCCAGGTATAGGAGGCGTGTGGGTACAGAAGGTACATGAAGTACCTTTGATTTTTGATTGGTATTTGATGGACCTGCAATCCAGGGTCATGCGGTTGCAGGTAGAAATGTAGTTTCACTACAGTTTATTTTCACTACGCGGTTTTCGCAAGCAAACCTGATACAACAACACACGGGCGTCTAATGCACACGCACCGGGTGTATGACCATCATTCAACACACGATGAGCTCTCGTATGTCGATGGGCAACCTATTTATATATATATATATATATCTGACATCCGAATATCTATGTATATATATATATATACACATCAGGAGTAGATAATAGGGAATATAGGGGATAATATTCCTATTATCTACTCCTGATACATATATATATATCTGACATCCGAAAATCGCACGTCGCCAAAAAGTACTACGCTGTTACGTTGTTACCGTAAAGCTACATCTTCAGCGAAATCTTAGGTGTCCATTTCAACATGGCGTCTTTAGACAAGTCCCCACCGCCTCTCCCCTGGGGGCATAAACAGTTAAAATACTGGGGACAGCTTCCCCGGTTCTTCTATCGGCGACCTCGTCACAACTACGGCGACCATCTCTGTTCCCGCGTGTTGAATACGGACCGAGATATATCCCGAATCGTATGAGATCTCTCACGGCTATTACCGTACCTACTTCTTCGATTCTAGGTTCTGCGAACAGATCATGCTATCGAGTATCGCATCTAATACGTGCTGCTAACTCCACACCTCCAGCGAATCCCGCTCCCGAGATCGATTCTAGGTTCTGCGAACACATCATGCTATCGTAACGAGCATCTAACACTAACTCCAACAATCGTCCCTCTCTAGAGATCTTGTCCTAATCTATCCAGCTCGTTAACGAGAAAGTCGATGTCATCGCGCGTGACGGCCGGGTTGGAGATGATCGGTCGAAAGAAGTTCGGGTTATCGTCGAGCGGCTGGTATCCTACCATCGTCGTTCCCTCTCTCATCATGCGACCTTTCATCTCAGCTGTTATCTGTCATTTACCAGCAAAAAAACAACGAGTGATTATGCAGATAAATCTACGTATTTATTTCTATCTGTATCAGGAGTAAATAATCACAATATATGTTTCTATTTCTATCTGCATCAGGAGTAAATACTAATAATGCGTGTATTTATATCTCTCTGAACTAGGAGTAAATAATCAATAGGAGTAACGATGCATGTTTGTGATGATTTACTCCTGATTTGTATGTAGCTACAGTCTCGTATCCTGTCCAAGACAAAGTGGACTAACACTGATATATGTATATGTCGCTCTTATATTACGCTATCGAAATGATATTTGGTCGTGATTAAACATTTGAAATTGAGAGTGAATGGCCACAAGTAGTTTGATGAAAAGTGTGAAATTGTAAGACATCATAGGCAGGGTCATAAGACGTTACAGGCCAGATCATTATACGTCACAGGTGGGTCATATGACGTCACAGGCGGGATCATAACATGTCACAGGCGTCTAAAAGTAATAAGAGTAGAAAAGAAAAAGGTACAAGAGGTGAAAAGTGGGGTGGGGTTTATATGTCGGCGCGGCTGTCGGCGCGGTCGTCGGCGACGTTGTCTACTTACACGTCCGAGCTGCTCGCTGCGCTCCGGTGACGACGGCTGGCCACGCAGACTCGGCGGCACATACCAGAAGCAGACGTTCACCAGCTCCGGCTGCGGCAGACAAACGGCCGATTAGCGCGCAGCGTCCTCTAGCGGGAGGGCGTAGATGTCGGAGGTGGCGTCGTCGTCGTCGTCGTCGTTGTAGTTGTTTTGTTGTTATTATTATTGTTGTTGTCATGGTTGTTGTTGTTGTCGTCGTCGTCGTCGTTATTGTTGTTGTTGTTATTATTATTATTATTATTGTTGTCATGGTTGTTGTTGTCGTCGTCGTCGTTATTGTTGTTGTTGTTATTATTATTATTATTGTTGTTGTCATGGTTGTTGTTGTCGTCGTCGTCGTTGTTGTTGTTGTTGTTGTTGTTGTTGTTGTCGTCGTCGTCGTCGTTGTTGTTGTTGTCATGGTTGTTGTTGTCGTCGTCGTTGTTGTTGTTGTTGTTGTTGTTGTTGTTGTCGTCGTTGTCGTCGTCGTCGTCGTCGGCGTCGTCGTTGTCGTCGTCGTCGTCGTAGATTTAACAGCACGGTGTGGTCGCGCTTACAATTGCTTGATTGAATTGCAGTAAAATTTACTTTGCTCTTATATGTTCAACCATTCAGTGATTACGCGTTATAATGCTATGAATATAGAAGTGGAGAGCGAGGGCAAGAGAGTGTGGAAGCAAGAGAGAGAGATAGAGACAGAAAGAGAAAGAGAGAGAGGGAGTGAGAGAGAGAGTGTGTGTGAGAGAGAGAAAGGAAGTGAGAGAGAGAGTGAGAGAGATAGAGGAGAGAGAGAGAGAGAGAGAGCGAGAGAGAAAGGGAGAGAGAGAAGGGGAGAGAAGAGAGAGCGAGAGAGAAAGAGAGAGAGAGAGGAGGGAGAAGAAGAGAGAGAGAGAGAGAGAAGAGAGAGAGAGAGAGAGAGAGAGAGAGAGAGAGAGACGATAACGAGAGAGAGAGAGGGAGAGAGAGAGAGGGGGCGAGGAAGAGAGA